AGTTTTTTTGTATAATTCTTGGCTCGTCCAATCGTAATTAAAGTAGGAACCATTATATTAGCCATTATAGCTAAGCCTTGCCTAATGTCGTTAACAAAATTAATGCACTTCAAACTAAAAATTAACACCCGAACGACTCTTTTAGTAAAAGCAATCACAACCTTCTGTTTTGGATAACGAAAACCGCACTATCGGTAGAGGCTTCTGAAATAATTTCAGACTTGATCTTGAGCATATCATATCCTGCAGTGTAAACTCGTAAATCCTATATAAAGAGGTGTCTGCAGAGACGCTAATATCTGGAGTCGAAGTGTGTAATAGTAACACCCCTCAATTCAGTGGACGCATGTAGCTACAATAACAAAATATAAGCTACATATATATGTATTTGTGTGTACAATTCAAATATTCATACCTATAGACACACATACATACATGCACCCATATATTATAATATATTAACAGCTCAGCAGGGCAATGTTCTTCTTTGTATGAGAAAGGCAGAGGAACGGTCAGCAGCTGAAAAAAATTTGCGGAAAATGGAAATAATATAATATAAGAGGAGAAAATAAAAGTACGTGGTGCAAGAGGTAATAATTATCAATTACTTGAAAATACTTAATTTAGGCACATGCATACATAACATATGAGCACATATGTATTTATATGCATATCCTTGTATATATCATAGTATAGAATATTTCCTTAAGGCACATCTTATTCAAGCTATATAATTCTAAGAGGGCATAAATTGTGTTAAACTTTAAAAATAAATTTGGAATAACTTCAGTATAGACTTTAGATCCGAGAAGCCACTCACAATCATCAGGTTTATCGCTTTATTAGACGAAAATAGATGGGCAGTATATACATATGTAGAAAATCTCGCTTTACAGCTACAAACCTTGAGTTATTTTGGTGGTGTAAAAGTTCAAAATAAAATACTTCGTCGTTGTTTTTTTAACAAATGTTTTGTTTATATTTACTACTATTTTATGAAATTAGTTCATACAACTTTTTAAAATTTTTACATTTTTTTCATTAGTAATTAAATAGGCTTTTTCGTTGCTTTTTATTTAAATCTTACAGCCTATTATGTAACTAAAAATTTTAATCGGTTCAGTTGCATATGAGCATTTTATTTGAAGAGCTAATAAAATATATAATAAATATATATGTTGTGAAAATACATTGAAATGAGTGTTGGCAGCAATGAGTTTGAACATTTAATGAAGCTATAATACTCTTCACGTTTTACTTAAAAGAGCTTTATTTATTTCGTGAAGATAACTTGGCATATAAAAAAGTTTTCCACAAAAGCTTGGTACCGATCATTCAGCTGGTAGACCAGCTCTATTTTGTATTGGCTCCATATCGGCGTTCCGACAAATAAGTAGGTTCTTGGAGAGTAAGGGATGTACGTAAAATTTCAGATCGATATCTTAAAAACTGTGGGACAAATCTCAATCTTAAAATTTTTTTATTAGAACGTTAAAGCTGCAAATACCCATTTAAGAGAGCACTCCTTGAGCTCCTAATCGAAGCAAGGATTTCTGCATTTACATTGCACTACTATCAGCAACAAATAGTAAGATTCCTTCTTTTTTATTCTTCAAAATCTATAACGCGCCCCTCAAAGTAATACCCTTTGGCCACAATGCACTTGTGCCAACGTTTTTTCTAATCCTCGAATAAGTTGTTACAGTAAATTTCCAGAAAAGTCTTCAACGCACGTAGGGATTCACGTTTAATGTCAAAACCCCAGAGCAGTCGCTTGATTTGCTGATTAGCCAGAAGATACACGGAGCTAAATCAGGCGAATATGGCGATTGTTGCATGATGTTGGTTGAAACTTTGGCGAAAAATCTACGAAGATGAAGGCAGTATTCGGCGGCGTGTTGCGTGACGCAAAAACCAATAGTTGTCGGCCCATAATTTCGGCTTCTTTTCACGAATAGCTTCGCACAAACGACGCATAACACTAAAATAGTAATCCTTGTTGACAGTTTGGTCGGTTAAAGGGAATACGAAGTGCACCACACCTCGATAATCGAAGAAAACTGTCAACATAACCCTGATTTTTGACCTCATCGACATCAAAGTTTTTCCACAATATTCGGCGAATTATCGTCTGTTTCTGGATCATAAGCATAGATCCAAAAATCATCTCTAGTAATAATACGCTTTATGATATCCTGGTTGTCGGAAAGCATTGCTTCACAGACATCTCTGACTATTAATCGATTCTCAACCACAAGTTCCTTTATTTTATTGAAGAGCTGATCATCAGTTGATGTTGATGGCAGTCCTGGACGTGGTTCGTCATAAACACGTTCCCGTTCATTACAAACGAAAAATTATAACGTGATGTTGGGCATAACAGACTTAAGGACATGTTGGATCTTGGGTACACATTATAAGAAAAGCGCTTGGTATCGTCTCCGATCGTTAGAGACTCAAATTATCAATTAGTAGAATATTGTGCTTGTTTTTATTTTATGAATATCTGGAATTCTCCATAAGATTTGGGCTTATCGGATATCGGCCTATAAACTGATGTAAAAACTCAACTCGTCAAAGTATAAATCCCGAAAATAATACCATTATACTAAGGTTGATTTATAGTACCGGAGCAACACTAACTAAATACTAATTATTAAAAACGAAAAAAAAAAAATTTCAATTCTGGAATAGTCACAATTTCGAAAAACGAGGCTTACAGTTTACTCAGTACAACACTCAGAAAGTTTTTTTCTACTACATTCATCTGAATAAGTCCAAATTTACTATTTTACACAGCTTCGGAAAATTTATTTATTTTATTAAATTTTCTTTTATTTTAGTATCTTTCATTTTACTATAGTTTTACAATTAATCAATTCATTTGCTTCTGGGCTATTGCTTTCAAGTAACCATTACATATTAATACATATATTATTCCGTATTTACCATATACAATTACATTACAGATTTTGTTTCAATATACATTTATCTTAAAACTATTTGTGCTTGAGTTCTGCGTTGTTGTTCGTAAAAAAGAGTAAACCTTATTATTAAATAATATACGTACCATATAGAGAGACAGTTTTTGAGAATAAGAAAATAATTCTTTAAGTGTAATGATAAGAGTTTTAGTTATAAAAATATGCATGCATTTAAAATGTAAGAAGAAATACTTATGTAAAGCTTTTTAATATTAGCTATAACTACTGATATATAAAAATATACACTTATCTTTCAATTTTTATCATAACCTTGGGCTATTTCGAAATCAGTTTAAGATTAATAATTACTTTCAATGTGCTTTTGTTTGATTGCTTGGTTGATTGACAAAGGAGGCACATGAGCGCCATCTCCGGGCCATCAATTTAAAGTGAGAAAAAATATTTTTTATGAAATCGTAAAAAATAAGGGAGCACTAAAGAAATCTTCAAAAATTCAATACTTTTATCGGAAATTTCTTTCGTCTTCAAAGAAGTAATGGTCAACGGCAATAAAGTATAAAACTCTTTGAGAAAACCACTAGTTCCATACCCTTTTGCCTTTGATTTCCTTTATTTATTTATAATTTTAACTTTTGGGAAAATTTTGACCCTCATACTGAACGAAAATACATATATACTTTTGACAGCGAGTTATATGAAAATAATTATATCGGTGTAGAACGTGGATCACTGTTCAAGAAAACTTAATTTAACTGTATAATTTTAATAGATGTTCATACTATTTCAGCAGTTCAGTTTTACTTTTTCATTCACCCTTGATTAAAAGTTGATTATATAATTTACACCACATTTGTTTCGACATTTCTTGTAGTTTCCAAAGAGAGAAAGGTAGATACTTTGGAAGAACTGGTATACCGCGAAGTTAGCGCAAAGTTTTTGAAACATAAACATTGAAATTTTTGTTCTAAAACTAATTTCGTAAAAGCCCAAATATTTGAAGTGAATGAATTTAACTTGGGTCAGGTTAAGAAAGAATTTTTATTGTTTTCAAAAAATATATATTTATTTATAGAAAAAATACAAAAAATTACCATTCTGAAATGAAATATTTAAATGGGTTTCACGGCTTCGAAAATGTTTTTTTATTGTATTTTTTAATTCTAGCACATCTCTCGCATATTGCCCTAAATGTCCAAGTTTAACTCAGTTATAGTTTTGGAGATAACGTGTTGAAAAATTGCGCGTTCGAAGCCAGCTATATAGTCACATCAAAGCTGAAATGCGTTTTTCCCGACACTTTGTTTTCACAGTGAGTTCGGAAACGGTACCAAAAATCCGAATGACTGACGGAAATGACGTCGTAATGGGCGAGTTTTGAATATTTTCCTCTGAAAATTTCACAAAAGATTTGAAAAATACTTTTCTTTAGAATAATAAAAAGTTTAAATAAAGCATTTCATAATTTAGATTTAAAAAAATATCCGATATATGTCGTTTTTTGAGCGAGGAAACCCATGTAACGCCTTAAATGAGAACAATGCCTATATGTGCAGGCATATTGTGTCAAAACTTATGTATCACATTACTTACGTAGTTGTTAAAACACTAAGTAAATTAGGAATTATAAATTATAGCGTTGTCAAGTTATGGGTATCCAGCAAGCTGCTCACTATGGAAATTACTCCGCATTGTAGATGAAATTAAGAACTTCAACTGGAGATATTTGCGTTTGTGTGCTTGTTTTCAAAGAGAAAGTTATCATCTTCAATAGCAATAGATCTCAAAATCTTTATGTATTTACTTACCTCATGCATAATTTTTCTGCACAAGTCAAAGTATGACATAAAACCTAAAACCTTTATAGAATTTGAATTATTCGCAGAATAAAAACTATCATATACATATGTTCCTGAGAGCTCTTGAGAGCTGTTGAATACCCTATAACGAATAGACCTAATACATGGACTAAAGTGAATTTGAAATCCATTAAATAGCAAAATATAGAACACCTAGAAAAGTTCGGCTTTAAAGTTAAGATTTCTTTTATATTCAAACATAAATTTTAATACATAAAACAAATGTTTGAAAAATACAAGTTCAGAGCAAAAGAGACAGCTGTTAGTTTCTGCTACACAAAATAGCTACTGCACTATGAATAAACAGCTGATAAAACACATGTGTAATAAAGCGATATTTGATGCTTTTGCTTGGATTTTGTCTATTTTATTAGTATTTAAGTTATGAAAATAATTAGGTGTTTGACATAGTCTCATAAAGTTATAAGTTATAACGATCCGTAAATATAGCGTTCAGAGTGCTATTTGCGTAAACTCATTTTCGTATGCAATGCAACAACAAATTTTTTAAACTAGATTTTACGATGCTTTATGACACGTTGTGAGTATTCCAAATAAGTATATTGAAAATGTTTCTAGTGTTCATATGATTTGATTATTAAAGACAATATTTTGAATTTTACTGCTAACTTTTGCAGCTTTTTCGTTTCTTTACTTTTCGTTAATTCGCTGTTTGTGAGAGTAACTCGCATTCTTGTTCTTCCTGATAGCCACTAGCAGTTATGAAAGAAACCCATAAAGAAACTTTAACGTAGTCGTTTTGACACAATATGCCTGTCATCATTACTCAGCATACATATACACATACAGTTCGAAATAATTAAATTTGTAGCAACCAAAAATTTGTATTTATTTTTAAATCGTCTTGCCACTCTAACGCAAGTGCTTGGTAAAAATAAAATGATTTTTTTAATGCGTTATTTAATTACTTTATTTTCTTGATATCTAAAATTTTAGAGTTAATATAAACAACGAAAAGAATAATCAAAATATGTTGTCACGACATGCATAGACACACAGGTCCTTTGTAAATAATCAAAATAGTATAATAGAAAATCCAAAAAATATACATATATTCTATGAAAAGCTGTGAAATTTTATTGAGATTCATAAATTCGTTGCTACAAAGGATGCAATCACTTAATTGACTACAGAAGCTTATTCAATACTTAATGCATATGCATACATAAAATTAAAAGAAGTTTTAGCATTTTTACAAAGGAATTAAAATATATTATTTTGTTTAACAAAACTTTAAGAAGTTTAAAATGGACACCGCATAAAAAATAAAAAATATTCAAATATATGTACATACACATAGAAATGTATATAAACTACATACAATGACGTACTTGTGCCTACAATTACACAATTCTTAACATTAGCTGTTTCTTACTGAATAAAGTAAATTCGGCTTATCAAACTACTTTTGCTATACTACGATTACCTAATTGCTAGACGGGTAACTAGTCGATAACTACTTTTAATTACTATAATTATGAACTACAATTTGTAGAATTTGTATACTGTCAAGGCGCGCAGGCGTAGTAAAAATGAGAGAAAAATAGAAGGAGCAACATGTTGGTATAAAACGAGTGAATTTACAGGTATAAAGTGAGTATGAGAAGCACCTGCCAAAGAAACGTGCAAAAAATTTAGACATCCTGTTGCATTTATACAGACATATAGAAATGCTTATTTGCGCTTATAAACAATCATATCCAGTGAAATTTCTTATAACCGGACACCCACGATCGCAGTGTTTTTGTCCGGCTAAGGGAGCTGTCCGTATATGAGGGCATGGACAAAAACGTGTATTTAAAATGTATTCTTAGAGTCAGAAGCTGCAACTCAGAACTATACTCCTATTGAACTAATAAATACCAGCCAATGTCAGCCAGCAGTGAATGAATGAAAATTATCTTATTAGTTTCCGTTGTACCACCGGGAACCAGATTACCCCAGTGCAAGACAATTTGTTTGCTGTGATTATTTAATGTTTTGTTAAAAAAAAAAAAAAAATTGTCCCAAAACACCAAAAATTATTTAGAATTTAAAAAACCGTAAACTATAAATTGTACACAATATTCTTGACAATTTTTATGAAATGTCGTCCGTTTATCAGAGACAATATGAACAAAATATTACCAAAAAAATGTCCGTATCCTGTCTTAGGAAAGTATTAATGAAAACGTTGTGTTCATCAAATTTGTCCAGTTATGGGAGATGTCCGACTATGAAGACTGTCCGTTATGAGAAATTTCACTGCATAATACAAAGTTGAGAGGAAGTAGTGTTGAAAAATTCGCAGAGCTAAGACACTAATAAATATATGTTGTTTTTATAAACTTGTTGTTTTACTCCAATTGATTGCAACTAATGTTTAATTTCTTCGAAGTTATGTGTAATTCTCGTACTCCGTTTTACCGCTTTGCTGAAATGATCATTAAAACCTGAGTTTTTGTGTTGTTTGTTGTTGTGTATTTGATGTTGTTATTGCAGTTGTACTACTACCGTCCCATGTGTGCGCACTGGGTGCTCGCTTTATCAAACATGCAAAGGGTCGTTGCGCGCCCTCCTGCCGATATGCAACTAACTCCCTGCCCTTGCCGCTAAGCGCCTCAGTAAAATCAACTGCGATCACGTGCACGCTCGTGTACCCGTTTCTTCGACTTTTTGAACTTATTACCATACCTGCCGTTACTGTTGCCATCACCGCTGTGCAGTGCGGCGTACTATTGACCCTTGTCCTTGCCGGCACCGCCCGCGGTTACACTGGTCAAACCGAGCAGGTGATCGCTGGCCAATAGCCCCGCTGCCGCCGCTGCGCTGGGCTGATGCGCATAGTTGCGTATCTGGTGCAATGAGATAAGTTGTGTTGGGAAAGCGGCGGCTGCGGCGGCATTCTGCTGGTACAGGTACGCTGCGGCGGCGGGTGGACGTTGTTGTGCAGCCAGCGCATTCAAATGTGGTGGCGCCGTGTTGATGGGCGTAAAGGCGCTGGTTGTTTTCACGTCGTAGTTGGCTGCTGCCGCCGCCGCTGCCGCTGCTGCCGCTGCATTGCCCAATAGCAGTGGATTGGGTGAGTGTGACTGTTGATGCTGATGTTGTTGTTGTTGCTGTTGTTGCTGCTGCTGTTGTTGTAGATGATGTTGCGGGGTTTGACGCATCACCAAGTCCTCACCCTCATCGTTGGGCGAGTGTGAGTGATTCGGCGTGTTGCCGCTGCCAGCGCTATCGCCACCACTGCCCGCTCCACCATTCACCAGCCGCTGATGGTGTTGCAGTAGTTCCTGCTGCTGCTGTTGTTGGTGCTGTTGCAGCGCCGCAAAGTTGTAGCCATTCTGAGCATGTTGTTGCTGTTGTTGCGCAGCCGCGGCGGCTGCAGCTGCTGCAGCGGCAGCTTGCTGCTGTTGTTGTTGTATAGCTTCAGCGAGTGTGGCTGCATTCACGCCACTATCGGCACCCACTTTCGCCCAATACGAATTGGGATCACTAGTTGCGGCCGCTGCCGCAGCATTCATCACCACCTGTCGCTGCAAATTAAGGCCGATACCGCCGGCAGGCACATGGTGTTGCGCATTACTTGTTGCGCTGGCCTGTCGTTGCTGTTGCTTCTCCGCCTTTTCGGCGTGTTTTTGCAAATGTTTCTGCAGGTAGGTCTCCTGTGTGTACGACTTGCCACACAGGTTGCAGATGTGCGTCTTCAAGTGCTTCGAGTCTTTGTGTTTGGGTATGTGCTCGAGCAGCGTTAATTCGTCGGTGAAGCATTTGTAGCAGGAGTTACATTTAAATGGTTTGTCCGTTTGGTGGCAACGAGAGTGCGATTGCAGATTGGAGAGTTGTGAGAAGGCTTTAGGGCAGCCGGCATGGCGGCACTTGTATGGTTTATCCCCGGTATGTGTGCGGATGTGTTGTTGCAGGTGCGACAGCTGTGTGAATTTGCGTTGGCAGATTTCACAACGATATGGCTTGATGCCCAGATGGATGCGGGTGTGTTGTGAGAGGTAGGAGGAATTGGCGAAGGTTTTTGTGCATTGCGTGCATTTGTAGGGTTTGGCGTCGCGGCCTTCAGGGGAGCCTTGTTGGTTACGTTGTTGCTTCTGATTGACGGTGTGTTGTTGCTGTTGTTGTTGTTGTTGTTCGACAGCAGCAGCATGTGGATCATACTAAAATGAGTAGAGGAAAAAAATAAAAATTGTTTAACAACGCGTGCTCCCCAAGAGAAAGAAGTTCTTATGTCAAGTTCATGGATAGATAGCGAAAAAAATAATATCAATTAACATAGATTTTTGATAGTTTACATTTTTTGAGAAATCTGACTATATTTATAGATACAATGTTTTATACCATCTGAAAGTATGGAATTCCATGACAATAAAACCTATTAATTTAAAAAAAATCTTTAATTTTTTCAGTTGAGATTGAAAATTAAGGCGTTTTCAATATTAGGTCAATATAAGGAGAATTAATAAATATTTTAAATAACGGATATATAGTGTGTTTGGGACATAAGAATGTAAATTTACACCAAATAAAAAAAAAATTGTGTTCAAGATACAAATAAAACAAAAAAAATAAAATTTTAAAATTTGGTTATGTAAATTTTTCACATGAATGTTGAGGTTATGTGAAAAAGACAGGTATATACATACATATGGTAATTATAGATATTTTTATTACCTACAAGGTTGCTATATAATTGTTTTCGGCGGAAATCGAGATAAACCATTTTTAACCTTTAAAAATTCAGCGCTCCCTCCCCTTCCTTTTCCCCCAACCGCAGACTGCCTGTAAATTAAGTTTCCCTTATTGTTTGTTAATTAAACTTTCGTTTCCGATGAAATTTAATCTGCTGTAATTCTTTTCAAAAATTATTTGCACTGGTCTATTAAGGTAGTTTATAAGAAAAAGGGTCGCTTGAAAATTTAAAAGCTTTTAGAAGACTGCTGCCATGGTGCCACACCATTGCCGGACAAATACCCGAGACCGATTATGTAACTTGGGTTACATTTTTGTCTTAGCGGTCTCTGAATGCTGTTCTGAATAATATTGTATTTTGGCTCGTCATTAAATCCACTGTCATTATTAAATTCGATTCCAAAATCCCCTTATATAATTGAACATTAAATAAAATACGTTCTTGATAGCTTCGCAAGCCTTTTAAACGAATCACTATATATTTCCTGGCATTACTAGAACCTCGAATTACTCTCACTTACCTTTTGCTCTGGTTGTTCCGTCATGGTGGGTGTGGCCGGTGAATTTGGTGGACTATACGATTGTTTAAGCTGCAGCTGTTGGTGCTGTTGTTGTTGTTGCTGCTGTTGATGAGCCACTTGTTGTTGTTGTTGTTGTTGCTGCTGATGATGTTGCTGCTGTTGTTGCTCATGCGCTTGCTGTTGTTGGAGTTGTTGTTGTTGCTGCTGATGATCAGCGAGCAGCTGCTGTTGTTGGTGTATAAGGCCATTCTTCAACGAATAATCTAAACGCTCAACATTCTGACGAAATTCATTGATATTAAATGGTTTATAATCGTGTGCCGCCAACTGTGCGGCATTGCGCAATTCCACCGGCGTCAGATGATGACTTAGTGAGGAGAGGACATTGCGTTCGTTCATCGAACGCAGCTGATCTATCGAACGGTGGAGATAATCACTTGGGGGAGCGGGTAATTCGGCCATTTCTTTGAACGCGGCGTTGTTTGTCACACCGCTGTAGTATTGTTGTAATAGTATGATGTGTGCGTTACGCAGCCGTCAGTTGAAGCCGTTATATGGTAGGAGTGTTATGCGAAGAGTGGTTGGTAAAAAACTGCGGCAAATTTCGTTTTGCGTATTTTTTGATCGATTGATGGCGCCAGCCAATAATTTCGTCAATTCGGTAACCGCCGATGTCAGCTGAAATTGGAAAAGAAAAAAACTGGTCAGTTGGCATTCTGCAATTGCATTGAGGTGTATAATAATTATAATAGGTAAAAAAAGCGAATTTCCTTAAAGTTTTAAGGTAAATTGTCATATATGCCTAATCAACAAATTGTTTGTGCCAATTTTAATATGTAAGAGGTTTTTTATTGTCGAGTGACGCTTCAGAAAAGCTCAGCGCTTATTTACCAAACTGTTGTCGCCATACAATGTCTTTTCTGTGCAGGGTGTCAACTTACTAATCCAAAAGGTGTGTAATCATCATGCTGTATGTAAAGCTAAATGCTTCAATAATTCGGTTCATATTTATATGTATTCCTACACCCCACATTATGTTATAAGTCTGATTAAATATGTTGGTAATTCCTAATTCGCAAGGAAAACGCTGATCTCAATAGTTAGTCAATGCATTGGTGAATTATTTAATAGATACATATATGTAAATAAAGCACTCTATAAGGCGGGAATTGTACGAAGGCGCCCTAATGATGCTCAGTTGTTTGAACGAATGACCCCAAAACCGTTGCTGTACAAAAGAAATCTGAGAACACGGTTGAACAGTTAGAAAATAACGCCAAATTTTGAAAAAGAGAAGTATTGGCTCCGTTGACGAACTAATTGTTCATCGCCCCTGGTGTCAGGCATATAACTGCTGAGTGTTTTCCTAATACAGCTTTGGACCATTGCTGGGGATAGATGGTACAATGGACCAATTTTCATAGCTCAAGATTCTCAAAAATACTATGGAACTTTTCGCGTTCAAGTCAAATTTCGTACGTGATATTCCTTCGACATTTTTATGTTACGCTGTGAAAATGGGAGAAATCGGACTACAGCCACGCCTACTTCACCCAAAACACAATTTAAAATATCATCTGTTTCTTTTCTTTCGAGTGTACAAATCAAGAAGCAATTAGTATTGGGTAGTCGAAAAAGTATTTTCGTATTTCTAATCAAAGTTTAACTTCTTTATATTTATAATAATAAATAAACAAATATGTACCATTTCGTTCGCGCACTTTTTGCCATTTTTCCGCTAGAGACATTATTCCATCAGTGTAATTCGAAATTTTCAGAACGGAAGCGAGCGAACCATTGTTGTGACACACGAACTGATACAGAATCGTCTCAATAAAAAAAATCATTTCAAAATATATCGAGTTTCTTCAATATTATTTTCACCCTTTTTGAATAGCTGTAACTTTTTTTCAACTTCCTCATATTTAATTTTTTTGTGATTGGTAGCACTGGAGATAAGCGACTGCAACGATATCTATTGACAAAATACGAAAATACTTTTTCGACTCCCAATTTAACGGGAAACGAACGAACGACACGAATAGTGTCGTGCCACCATATGACTAAAAATTGCTCAAATCAAACCAAAAATGTTCAAGCACTATAATACTGAAAATGTGGAACCAGTTCTTATAGTTCACTTTTCATCGAAAATATCTGCCAATGTGTGAGATATTATATAATTGAAATTGAGAGAGGTTTCTTTCCTGATAGTAGTATGTTTGTGTGTTACAAATGGGTTGAATCAGGTCAATATTTTCCTTAGCCCCAATAGACCTAATTTAATATTTTCAATCTTTCGGGGGACTCTTACCGCATATATCGGCATTTTTATGAGTTATCATAATAAAATTGAGAGAGTGTCTTTTATTTTAACGGTGCATCTTTTGGCTCAAAATCGGATGAAAGCTTTAACTAACAAGCCATATGTACCTGAAGCTACTTCCCTGGCTTTAAACTTTGCAAGTTGCAAGAGTATACTCGTAAAATGGCCGGCCATACCTCAACATATCTCTTCCATACTTCTTTATTTTTAGGGTTAATCTACGGTGAAGACCTGAATCACTGATATACCCTAAAATTTTCAAAACAATCGATTCAGTAACCAGATTTGCCTTTGACTTTCTCCTCTAAACAATAGTTCTGTACAACAAGTCATGAGTCATTGGCGACAATAAAAGAAAATGCAAAAGTTCAAGAATTCTTCCAATAGGTGGAATCGAAATTTTTTTATTGTCTTATTAAATTCTAACACACTCTAGAGTAGTGTCTTAAATTTTCAGGTTCATCCGAGTAACAGTTTCGGAGATACAGCCTTGAGAAACGCGTTTTTCTCGAAACTGTGTCTTTGAAGTCGGCTGGCAAGATTTCTCGAGAACTACTCAACCGATCTTAATGAAATTTTATCTTTGAGATACAATTCTCAAATAAGAGAGTGCAGCATTTTTTTCGAATACAACTATTTAAATAAAAAATATCGTGAAATTTTCATTTTGTGTTTAAAAAATGTTTGCCAAAAATCCAATATTAATTTTTTTTCCTTGGTCTAAGTTCTAAATAAATATTTTAACTAAAACACATATTATAAACATATTTTTATCACTTTAGATGATCCTGTAAATAGTTATCCGTGTATGTTTGTAACAATAAAGAATTCTAATAAAATATCTCATTTTTATATGAGAAAAAAATTGTTGAAAAAGTCCGCTTTTTCCCGAGGAAGCATCATCATCAGACGATGAAGGTTTCTTTCTTTCTAGTCTTCTTCAGGAATGAGAGGTTTTTAATGAAGATTATATTATTACTTTCATCTTAAAACGTAGCCCACGTGACATAGGGTTTTTTGGTAAATGCTTATGCTGACTGCTGTTCTTACATGAAACTGCTAGAACTTAAACTACTATATCCCATAAAATTATAAACAAATCCAAAATAATAGAACAGTAAAATTAAAATTCCAACAAATTTTGATGTTTTCTAATGCCCAGATTACAAATTATGTTAATGCTATTTTTATGATGTTAGCGAAAATTAATTTTCCAGTATTGATTAGAGCCAGTGGTTAAGTTTAGCGAAGCTCTTTATTGAAATCATGCGGAAAGTTTTGCGAAAATATAAACGTAGAGAAATCTTACACAATCTATAAATTGTGCAATGAAAATTTCGCTTTCGTTTCATAAGTAATTCGTATGAGAATTCTGAGAAGAAACAAGGATATCGCCAGACAGTCTTCTTGTAGCTATGAATGGGAGAGTGACATAAGGGGTTAGGGGTAGTCAGAATTTAAAATTTCTTTCTTTTTTGCATTTTCGTTAAGTGTAATATCTTAAAAATATTCTCTGCAAATTTCACGTTGATCCTTTAATTAGTTTTTGAGTTATTTGATAAATAACAAAGAGAGTTCGGGCTAGTGTGAAACTTTAAACGCGTTTTTCTCAAAACTATGTTTTTTAAATTGGTGACAACTGTAACTCGTGAACCACTCAGTAGATTTTAATGAAATTTATACAGCTTTTAGAATACATAATAAACCCGGGCCTGATAGAAGAATTTTTTTTCCAAAAATTTCGATTTTTTAAGACCAATAAATGTAGACAAATTTCCTGAGGCCACCATTTTGTTAATTTTTGGAAAAATCATTATCTATTTAGAAAAAAAATTGTTTTTGCCCGGTTGATTTTAGATGAATCTCCAAGGTCTTATGGTTGTCACCGCAAGTACCTTTTTTTGGAACTGGGTCTACTCAAACAACTATAACTTTTGAAATTAATTTTTTTTTAATTTTCGTGACTTCAAGTCAACACATTCTATAATAATGCCATATTACTACTTTTGTAAAATAACACGATTTAATAGCAAAAAAAATATTGGAAATTCTCATTTTTGGGTGCCTCTGACTACCCCTAACCCCTTAATACGTGAAAAAATTAGGAATGGTAAAACAATTTGTCAAAGTACTGTTTCATATTCATTTGTGGAAAATTTCCGAAGTTTAGTATGAAAGAGTGGTCCACAACTACAGTAATTTGTGATGATACATACAGGTTTGTCAAAGTTGTGACTGGAAAGTGCCTCGTGGAAAAGTTTTATGTTAATACTCAATAATATCCCAAGTTGTGTTATATATGCTGACACTATTTCAAACTCTTGGAGCAAATTATATTATCAAGTTAGACTTTCTCGGCAATCATCCGGATACATTTTCGGTTAGTATAGGAAATTAATTAATGCCTCTCTTGGTTACTATAGGATCAAGGTTTATGAGATCGTCATATGATGTCAGATTACTCCCTCTTCCTCCGCTCCTTGGTCCTGGTCCTTAAAAAAAAATTTTTGTCAACTGATAAACTATTAAGGAAAAGCTCATAAAAGGCATTTAAACAAAACTGACATTATAAATATATGTTATTTTGTTCATGACTTCTAATTTTTGTTGAGTAAAATGAAATTAAAATCATTGATACTTTAAAAATTTGTGAACCCAAATAAATATGTACATATGTATATCCAAGAAATATCTTATATATATAAACAAGTTAATCACTGTAGCCCAGTGTAATAATAGTATATCGTCTATCGTATATCTAAAATGAAAAATAACGTATCCCTTCAAATTGCATACATAATTTTAGGTATGTCCAACATTTCTTCTTCAGGTTCTGCGCTCAAATGTATGTATATAAACCAGTTTTAATCAATATTAAAATTTTTTTCACTCTAGCTCCATTTTATTTCGTGTTTCATTCACGCCACCGTAAATTTTCGAAAATGTTGTTACGTTATTTTGCATTTTAGGTGACGAAATGTAGTATCGATTCTACAGGAAATTACTTTAAAAACGGATTTGAACAAATAAATAAATATACTGTTTTTTTTCAGAATTCTCTTTGAAAAACATATTCTGTAAAAACGAATTTCAATTCTGAAATAAAGATTTTTTTGCTTTCATTTTGTTTATTTAT